TTTATTTATTTTTTTAAGATGAAGTATTGCCCTGTGACCCAGGCTAGAGTGCAGTATCATGATCTTGGCTCACTGCAACCTCCACCTCCTGAGTTCAAGTGATACTTCTGCCTCAGCCTCCTGAGTAGCTGGGATTACAGGCACGTGTGACTACGCCCAGCTAATTAATTTTTTATATCTTTAGTAGAGACAAGCTTTCACAATGTGGGCCAGGCCAGTCTTGAATTCCTGACCTCATGATCCGCCCGCCTCAGCCTCCCAAAGTGCCGGAATTACAGACATGAGCCACCGTGCCTGGCCCGTGATTTTTAATTTGAATTTTGGTATCTCTGTTCAGGGAGAGAATGGGGTCGTAAAGTCAACCCAAATGACTATCAGTAGAACCGGACTTTGCAGAATGGGAGCTTTGGTGTTAGGGTACAAACAGTAACTTTGTAACTTATGTCTATATGGCAAATCTGTGTTGTTAAAAATTTTTTAATCTACTGTCATTAGTGGACCTTAGAATATATTGAAATTTGACTTAAGACGATAGTCTATATAGAACAGCTACATAACACTATCATATTACAGTATATAATTTGAATTAAATTGTAAGAATTTGCCTTTGTTTCTGACTAGTTTTGATTTTGATATCTATTAAAGATTGTCTACTCACCAATTAGTAATCTTTGGGAAAAAAGCACTCATGTGTGCTACTGTTTGTTGAGTATCACTATTTCAGGTACAGAGAGAAAATCGTCCTAAGTGAAGATGCCTTTGTAATACTGCAAACCACCTTTTAATTCATTTTTGGTAAATTAAACACATAATGAATTAATCTTAGTCCAAACAGTTACAAAGCTAAGATTGATGGTTTATATTTTTCCCCTCTTTGAGGCTAAGGTAAACATAGATTAAGAAGTTTAAGAATTAAATTTTTATTATTTTTAAATTTTATGTTTCCATACTTGATTATTTAATGACAAAGTTATCTAAAACATGTCCCCTGACAGAGAAGACATCTGACAAACAAAACTAGCAAATTAACCTTCCACTTCGTATCTGCAAAAAATGTCCACAAACAGAAGTGAACAAGTATGTAATAGCATACATC